CCAACCAGGATTACAGGAATAAAAGAAAAAAAGACAGCGTGCCAAATTAGAAGAGACAACAAGATCTAGCAATGAGAGGCAATGCATGATCTTAGATAGAATCTCTGAAGAAAGTCACCGTGCCAGTTGTTACAGACTCAATTTCGTCCCATCCCAAATTCCTTGATAAAGCCTTAGCTCTCAGATGTTGATGGTGTTGATGGAAAGTCAGCTTTACAGAGAGGAGGAGAGTCAGACAGAGAGGAAAATATTTTGTCCATTGATTCACTCCCCAAGTGACCGCCACAGCCGGAGCTGCAGCAACCCGAAGCCAGGAGCCAGGAGCTTCTTCTGGGTCTCCCACGCAGGTGCAGGGTCCCAAGGCTTTGGGCCGTTTTCGACTGCTTTCCCAGGCCACAAGCAAGGAGCCTCATGGGAAATGAGGCCACTGGGATTCAAACTGACGCCCATATTGGATCCCAGCATATGTAATATGAGGACTTCAGCTGCTAGGCTACCACACTGGGCCCGGACAAAATATTAATCAACCTCCAAGGACCTATCAACAAAACCTCAGTGGTCAGTTTGTGGTCATTTTCATTTCCTTTTTCACCAAGTACTTTCTCCTTCCCATTTTATTTTGAAGCAGATCCTAGACCTCACATAATGTCTTCTATGAATATCACAATATTCTGTCTTTGAGGACTTTCAAAGATTTATAACTACAATGCCTTTTCATGCCCAAGGCATGAATAATCCCTTACCATCATCAAATATCTGATCAGTAGTCATATTCACAATTGTCTTAGAAATGTAGTAAGCATATTTTTTTTTACAAGTTTTGTTGAATCAGGATCCAAATAAAGTCTCTGTATTGCAATTGGCAATGTGTTTTTCTAACCATTGTCATCTGCTGATCTGGTCTCTAACTCTTTATTTTCCCTGGAAATGTATTAATTGTGACTCCAAGTTGCTTATCCCATGGTTTTTTCCAGTCTTTAGCTTGCTGATTACAACCCTTGATGGCCCTCACCCTTTCCTGTAACTGACAGTTGGCAGTCTAGAAACTTGAACATATTTCAATTCAAAGTTTTAAAAAGATGTATATATTTGAAAAAGTTAGAGAGAGGTCTTCCATCCATTGATTCATGCCCCCAAACAACAAAATAGCTAGGTTGACTGAAGCCAGGAGCCTAGAACTCCATCTGGGTCTCCCATGTGGGTGCAGGAACCCAGGAACTTGGACCTCCTTCTGCTGCTTTCCCAGGTGCATTAGCAGGAAGCTGGATCAGGAAGTGGAGCAGCCAGGACTTGAAATGGTGCTTATATGGGATGCTGGTGTTGCAAGCTTTGGATTAGTCCACTGTATCACAATACTGGCCCTTATTACCCTTCTTGGTGGCCAAATCATCTCATCTTTAGCCATCATGAATCTCTAACTTTGTTCTTGAGTATTTTGGACATCACTCTAGTAGCCTGACAGAAATGGCTTTTTAGAGGTGAATTATGAGCTCATCTGGCAGAATGGGCCATGAAGACAGAGGCGGAATATGACTTGTGAAATCTATCTTTTCTTTCCCCTTTGGTGACCACACTTGACTTTCTGGTGAAATGCTCCCCCACTGGGTTCTTGTCTCCTTCTTAGATTGAATTCTTCAGCGCCTTTTCATGTCTGGATGCACCTGCCCCAAAGTTCCCCATTTTGGTGGGGTTCCAAAGATAGAAAGTCAGTATAGAAAGTGTCTTAGTGACCCTAAGAGGGGTCATGAGGTCCCAGCGCAGGGTCAACTGACTTCCTGGTGTTACATCTCCCTCCATCCCACATGAGAGGTTTGTTGTTCCACCACAGCCAAGGTCTTTAAACTTTCAACTCTTCCCAAACTTTCAGTTTTGGCTTTGCACAAGAGCTCGCATCCCTTGCTCACAGCAGCCTCAAGTGCGGGCTTGAACTTGGCCCTTTGTATCACATCTCTTTGTATCCCTTGTCTTTCCCTCCAGCTCAGTGTAAATTCTAGTCTCTCCCATTTCAGCCTATCTGTGTCACAATCCCTACCCCTCTCTTCAGCTTCAAGGTCATATGGCACTCTTATTTCACCGTAACAATTCTCGAGTTATCCTATAGCTAAGAGCATTGAGGAATCTGCCTTTGAATGCCAGTGTGGGATTGGAGCTCACATGTGGGCTACATGTCTGCTTTATGTCAAAGACCACAATCACTATCCCTGGTCTTCGTTCTTCCCAAGAACTACTTTTCTTTAGAAAAAATTAGAATTTTGCAGGCCCAACATGTCTCAGTTGTTAAATCCTCCCCTTGCAAGTGCTAGCATCCCATGTGGGTGCTGGTTCATGTCCCAGCTGCTCCAGTTCCCATCCAGCTCCCTGCTTATGGCCAGGGAAAGCAGTAGAGAATGGCACAAAGTCTTGAAGAAGCTCCTGGCTTCGGATTGGTTCGGCTCTGGTTGTTGTGATCACTTGGGGAGTTAACCAGCAGATGGAAGATGGATAGGAGCTGGATGGGAAGTGGGGCAGCTGGGTCATGAACCGGCACCCACATGGAATGCTAGCACTTGTATGGGAAAGGTTTATCATTTGAGCCATTGTGCATTCGGCCCTCAGTCCAGGTCTTTGATGTGTGTAGCAGAGGTTCAAATATTTGGGCCATCTTCCATTACTTTTCCCAGGCCATTACCAGGGAAGTGCAGCAGCCGAGACATGAACAGGTACCCATATGGGATGCCAGCATTATAGTCATTTTCTAAAAATGGGAATTTCTTGTATTCACTTATTAGTTTATTGTGTTGCTTTATTCACTTTTACTAATTTACTGTGAACTGCTTCTTGTGCCTAATATATTTACGTCTTGCATTCTATGTAACGGCTTCCGTTTTCCACCATTACCACTGATAATTAGTCAATCCCATACTGATGAATGTTATTTTCTAATTTTTCCTTTTTTTAAAAAAATAAAAAGTTATTCATTTAAAAGGCAGAAGTAGGAGATGGATTTTGAGAAAGAGACCAAGATCTGCTGGTTCACTCCCCAAATAGCCACAACAGTAAGGGATGTGCCAGGCCACAGGCAGAAACCAGAAATTCCATTCAGGTCTCCTAGGTGAGTGGCCCAAGCAGTGAGGCCATTGTGCTTTCCCAGGCACAATCACAGGAAGCTGGAGGGGAAGTGGAGCAGCCCAGATTCAAACCAGCACTCATATGGGATGCTGATATTGCAGGCAGCAGCTTACACGGCTGCACCACCATGTTGGCCAATCCAATTTCATTACTTCAGGCAATGCTCGTGAACATTTAACTTTACACACAATTTCCTCAGGATGAATTCCTGGGAATGGGGATTCAGAGTCAAAGCTATACACAGTTTTATCCATTTGCATTTACAAACTGAATTCCTGTCCTGCACATACTTTTGGGACTAATGTTATGAATTTGCTTCAGTTTTGCCTTCCTCATCAGTGAAGCTACTGCTTTATATCACTGAAGTATTATTAAAGTTTATTCTTGTTTCTTTTTGTTCTGTTACATTTGTCTTGATTGCTTTTTCTTATTGATTCATGAACGCTTATTAAGTCACAGTAATCTTTTCTTTCACACGTTAAAAATATCTTCCTGATTTAACATTGGTAGTGACTTTGACATACAAAAGTTTTAGTTGTTCATACAATCATATTTAAAAGCCTTTAAGCTTATTTGTTTGGGTCTTTTAAAAAAGCATTCATTTTACCTTTACTGCAAAGGTAGAGCAACAGAGAGAAATGTCCAAATTAATAGGGTCTGGGCCAGGCCAAAAGTGGGAACCAAGAACTCCATTTGAGTCTCATATCGGGGCAGGAGCTGAAGCATTCAATCAATAGTGCAGCAGCTGGACACTGGATCAGAAGCGAAGCTGGGCTGTGGGATGCAGGCATTACCCGTGGCAGCATCACTGGCCCCCTGTTGTCCCCATTTCTGGCTGTCATGTCATTTGGGGAAAGTCTTGTCCATCCTCTTAATGTTTTGGTTTCACATCTAAATCTTTCGGCATCAGCAATAAGAGCTGTAGCTTTCTACACTTGTCCTCCTGACTGGTTGATTATTCAAGAAATAATTATTAATCATCCTTTTCCAACTGACGAACAACACAGCCTTCCTCATGGAAGCACTAAGTTCCTGTGTGCATTTGGGGCTGTTTCTGGACTCTTCATACTTGCAGATTCTCCTAGGCCTTATTCAAGGACCAGCACGCTGCAGTTTCTGCGGGAGTATCTGGTAGGTCATCCTCCAGGATCTGTGCTGTTTTCTTATTATCATCTTTATCAAGTTTCTCAAACACTCCTTTTGGGATTTAGAAACTGCTTTGAATTATGGACTTGGGAAACTTGACCGCTTTTATATTTTCTTGTCTAAGAACAACTTATTTTTTAAAGATTTGTTTTTATTTGAAAGGAAGATTTTTATAGAGAGGAGAGGAAAGAAAGATCCATCCACTGGTTCATTCCCCAAATGGCTGCAGTGGCCAGAGCTAAGCTGTGTTCATTGGCATGGTGTTTTTTTTTTTTTTTTTTTTTTTGCACCTGCCTTTTGATTCTATGTTCCGTGAATCATGTGATGGTCCCGTGCACCTCTGGCTGTCCCTCCTCCCCTGTGTCCATCAGCTGTTTACCTGTCCTGTTAGGCTCACTTTGCAAGAGTCCCGCCTGAATAGGGCCCACCCCCTCTCACTCCTGCAGCTTTCTCTATCTGCCTCTTAGTTGTTTCATTTCTCTAAGTAGACTTTCCAAGTGCCTGAGGGCAAACTTCACATTCCTTCTGCAAGGATGCATTGCCAAGTACACATTAGCTGTTTGATAAACACCAGCGGTTCACTGCCCAGTGCCTTTCCCAGGGACTTACCTGGGACTCCACCTCTCCCTGGCACCGGTCCTGGCTATCCTCCCTCCCGCACAACCTTCCGCTCCCACTAACCAAGGGCAAGAGTGACAAAGACATGAAGGAGGCTGAGCACGCTGTGAAACAGAAGAAGCCAGCTCTAGGATCATTAGTCTTTTAATATATTATTCTGAAAAGAAAGGAATTAAAAAAAAGTTCCTGACAGCTCTTCTGGCATGTATTTTTTTTTAATTTAAATAAATACCCTACCCACCCTCCCAACCCGCTAAAATTTCCCTCTTTCCCCATCACCCCTCCCATCCCTGGCACTAGACCCTCACCCCAAGAACTAAATAATACGCCTGTTTCAGAGCAGGCCACGCTTACTACCACATTCTGGCAAACTGTAAATTCTGCAAATCACCCATCGAGCCTTCCCTCCACGCCCCCCAGGCAGGCCCATCCCTAGCTTGGGGTGGGCATAGATGGCGGGGGCCTTGTGGGCACTGGCATTGGGGAAGAGTTCGAACTTGGCCACCATTCACCCCCTACTCAGGAGTAGGTCAGAAGGGCCCAGAATTGCCCTCCTGACCGAAATAAATAACAAAATAAATACCCCTCCCCGACTCCGGGCTCTCAGAGAAAGCCCCTCGAACCTCACTCTCCAGCCCCTCTCTTTGGACCCACCCCCCCTTCTTCCTGGGGTCCTGCCCTCCTTCCTCATGCTGACCTCTAGCTGGACCCACGAGGGTGTGTGTTGGCGGCAGGGGAAGTCTACCGCGCTCCGACCTCAAACACACCCTCCCCTTCCTCCGACGCGCTTGCGGGGTGCTGCTGGGCCCCAAGCCCGCGGAGTCTCGCAAACTTCTCCGAGGGTGCAGGGAAGGGCTCTTCTCCCCGGCGCTCTCTCACCTGGTCCTTCAGAGTCCGCCAAGGCAAAGTCTCCCGGGACAGCCGGGCGCGCCCCGCCTCTCCCAGTCCCGGTGCCCAGCCGCCGCCCTCCTCAGATGGCCGTGTCCCAGAGGACGGTGTGCTGCCGGCGGCAGGGCGGGGTGCCGGACTTGCGGGGCTCGGGCCCCCGCCGCCAGCTGGGGAGGATGGGCATGCTGTCCTGCTTGCAGAGGCCGCGGTCGGGCCGGTGGCGCGCTTTGATCTCCTTGCACACGCAGCGCTTGCGCTCGATCACCTCCAGCAGTTTGCCGTCGCGTTCGCGGGCCTGCGGCGGCGGCGGTGGCGGCGGCAGCGGTAGCGGCAGCGCCGGGTGGGTCTGCGCCGCGCGGGGTGGGGTTGGAGTGGAATTAAGGCCCAGGCCCTGACGCCGAGACCAACCAACGTCTTCCCCCAGAAACAAGTCTTTTCTTGCGGGGGGCCCCTGTCCTCTCCCCGCTGGCAGTGAGGGAGATGGGGAAGAGAGAAAGTGCAGCCCCTGCCCTCCTCCCCTTGCCCTGCGGAGCGCCTGGACTTGCCTGGCCCTAAGTTTGGGGCTCCTGGTAAAAGCAGTCTTCCTAGCCGAGGCATTTTTCCTAATGGTCGCTGCCCCCAAACTCCGTGGTGGTGTTTGTGTGTGGTAGGGTAGTTCTTTCACTAAGTCGCATAAAGGGTGTTGTGGGATGGCAATGGCCCCAAATGTTTTTGCAGCCCGGTCTTCAGCAGCTGTCCCGCCCCCCCGCTTGGGAGCCAGTTCCCATCAGGCTGTGCCAGCCACTGCTGGCTCAGGTCCCAGCCTACCTGACCTCTTCCTGCCCTTCTTTCCCACACCCAAGTTTTCTTTACCCTGACAGATGAAAGAAAAACCGCAGCTCACCTGGCTGGGGGCATCCCTGGGCTGGCTGCAGGGGCGGGGGGTATGGAGCGCGGCCTGCCGGACTCCAGAGGTGGAGGCTGAGCGGCCGAGGCGGTAGCCTCCAGTGAAGTCTGAGTTAAGAGAATCAGGCGTGAGAAGAGAGGGGGCCTTCAGGAGACACCGGTTACCACCCCCACCCCAGTGCCCAGAGTTGACCCCACCTCATCAGGGGAGAAAAGGGCAGGGGGAAATGGTGTTAGGATTCAGGGCTGTGGACCAGGCAGTGGGAGGGTGGGCCAGTTGAGGATAGACCCTGGGGCGAGGCAGGCGGGCAGGCCAGTGGTCACCTCCATTGCGGTGGCAGGCAGGGAAGGTCTGGCAGGGCATGGGCAGTGCCGAGCGGCTCCCTCCTCGGTCCCCTCCGTGGTGGATCCTGGCCAGCAAGCCCTCTGCACCCTGGCTCCTCACGGGAATCCCAGAGGCCGTGGAGCCCCGGTCCTCACGCTCCGCCTTGCCTGGACCCTCTCCACTGCCGTTCCAGGTCCGGCCACCATCCTCGACCTCTGCTGGAATGACCAGGAGGGTTGGGTGCATGCACATGGAAAGGGTCCTTCTGTCCCCACAACCACACACACACACAACACACACACTGCAGCACAGGTGGGCTAAGCAAGTCACAATACGGGTGGGAAGGACCTCACTTCACACTCTTGCAACACACACACACACACACACACACACACACAAACGAGGGTCCACTATGCCGCAGCCTTTTATGTCCTCCCCTTGAGACTAACTGCTGGGGCTCAGGATCATATGAGTTTGTTTCTATATCACACATATATATATGTTTCTATGCCAGGTTCTGTGGTCAGAGGGGCCCCTTTTACTCCAACCTGAGCTTTTCAATCTCATCCAGGCTCCTGTCAGGCCAAAAAGACCACCCCCACTGAAAACAGAAACCAAGGGTACCATTTCCCAGTCCACAAATCCCAAATCCTGAGCCCTGCCCAGGAGGTGGTGGGGCAGGGGGCAGAGGGATGTCTTTGGGGGGGGGGGAAGGGCTGCGTGTGAACTCAGCTCATCTCTGAGGGTAGCCTGGCAGAGCATTGCGTTGCCAGGCAACGGCAGGGGCCTCCCTCTCCTCTCCCTCCTGTCTGGATGGGTTGCCATGGTAATAGCTGGGAGGCAGCTGTGTTTAGCTCCTAGTGTGCGCACACTCACAACCACACACCCCTGCAGCCAGAGGAAGGGAGATGTGGGGAGTAGAGCAGGTTTGGGACACAGGAGGAGCCAGGGCCAGGGCCTACATTCTAACCCCTCCCCATGCAGACCTCCCTGCCCTGCCAGCACACATGGGGACCCCCTTTCCTTCCGTCTGCTGCCCACCCCCGCCCTTCTGGTCTCTCAGAAAACTTCCCAATGCAGGACAATGGGCTGTGGCTTCCAAATCAACTCACCCAGCCCCTCCCTCAAACCAACCTCAGCCATCCCCAGCTCCCCCGTCGTTCCCCACCCCTCACTCACTGTCCAGCTCCTTTGCCTTCCTGCCTCCATACAGGACCTTCCGCTGCAGAGCCCAGCCTGCCCCAAATGTCGCAGCACCCATCTCCTCTTCTTCATCTTCTGGTGTCCCTGCAGCGGCGATGACATGGGTGCAGGAGATGCTAGCAAAGGCACCCCCCTCAGTCCCGGGCTCCTGCAGCTGGATCTTGACCATGGGGGATGGGGCCCCCACTCCACAGCCCTTATTCAACAGTCCCCCAGCCTTGATGCTCTCATAGGCAGGGGGTCTCTTGAGCCCAGCCGCTGTGGCTGGGTAGGTCCAGAGAGGGGTCAGGGGGCCCACTGTTGGGTCCGGAAGGCTGTGCGGGGAGGCCAGGCAGCCGCGGTGGTGGAGAACCCCAGCTGCTGTGCCCAAGGCCCCACTGTGGGGGCTGGCCTTCCCTGGCACGGGGGGCCTTGAGCTGGCACACAGCATCCCGTGGAGGACCGAGATCTCCTTCTCCGTCTTTGGCTCCCCAACACCCAGGGGTGGGCCGGCTGGCAGGACGGAGTGTGTGGTCACCTTGACGGCCGAGTACACCATGGTGTAAGATACGGCCTTGTCCTTGGGAGGGCCTGGGAGCAAGGCAGCTGGGCCAGGGGGGGCTACCGGCGCCCCCACTGCCTTGGGGCAGATCATGCTATGGGAGTTGGGGAGTTCCCGCTCCCCCCGGGGTTGGCCAGAGCCTTGGGGTGGCAATGGTGTGGAATGGCTCCGGGCTCGGCCAGAGGGTCCCAGCAGCAGCAGGTTGGCAGCAGGAGGTGGTGGGGGAGGTGTCTCCCGTTCCCGTCCAGGCACTTGGGGAGCCGGGCTGGAGCTGGCTGGCTCCTTGGAGTGGCAGAGGACTGGCAGCCTCGAGACCCCATCGCCAGGGGTTCGGGAAGCAGACTTGGCTTGAGGAAAGGCGAGGAGTGGAGGACGATGCTGGAGGAGGTTGGGGAAGGGCGGGGGGATTTCACAAGGAATGGTCTTGGTGGGCGTCCCGTCCCTCCGGCTTGGGAGGGCTGAAGCTGGACGGCGGTGGGTGTGGGGCTGGAGGGCAGGAGGCTGGTGGGGCGGAGAGGCTGCCATTGATGGAGGTGCCCCGTTGGCCCGGCCTTCCCCTGCCTCTTCAGGGAGCGGGTACTTCATCTCCTCGTATATGGCCTCGCTCTCTTCAGAGTCCGAGTCGGCGCCGGCGGGAGGGGTGGGACCCCCGCCCGCAAGAGGGGGTCCTGCCAGGCCCCCTGTGCTGCGGCTTCCTCCCCTGAAGACGTCCCCCACCATCTCAATGTACACAGGCTCTTCCTCCTGGGCGCCGCTCACTTCAGGGTCCCCAGCTACTCGGGATCCCCTAGTGAGGCGCTGGAGGGGCAGGTTCCCCCCTCGAGGAGAGGGGCCAGGGGGGCAGGACTCATCGAAGGAGACGGAGAGCTGGGTGTTGGGGCTCCGTCGGGGCTTCTGGGGGGGGACCTTCCGACTGGACTCCCGGCCCTCTGGGGCTGGCTTCTGGGAGCCTGAGTGGGATGGGAAAGAAAACAAACAAACTGTGCTTTCAGAGAAGGAAGAAAACAGGGGGGTTGCTTTTGACCTCCTGACCTACTTGGCAGGACACACCTGCCTTTGTTTTCCCCACACCCCTCGAGTGACAGCTCTTGTAGGTTCTTAGGCTGTTAGCCCTTACCCTTTTCTAAGACCCCTTAGAATACTGCAGCTCCCACCCTAAATTCCTTCCAACCCTCACTTCTCTCCAAGACCACCACTCCTTTCCCAAGAATAGACATTCCAGGCAGTGTCCCCTGGATAGGCCCTTGAATGGTTCATCTCAGGCCTATTCAGACAGACTTCCCCTGTTGCTTTTGGAAATGGAACCTTCCACTTCCTCGGTTCTTCCCTGAATGAACCCTCCCAACAGCCTCCCCAGGACTGGGGAATGGATCCTCCCAGCTCCTCCTGGGTTGGTGGGGGGAGTGTCCCTCACCTGCTTTCTTGCTGGGGGGTGTCTCTGCCCCTGATCCTGCCATGCTGAGCTTGGTGCTGGGATGTCTCCTGGGCTTGGCAGGGGGTCTTCGGGCACTGCTGTCCTCCGTGAGGCCCCCACCACCTGCCCCAGGGCCGCCCCCAACACTGTCCATGCTGCCCACTGAGTGGCAGGACAGGGACCGCGGGGCCATGGCGCTGCGGCAGGGGTGGGGGGTGTGCTCCTGGGAGGCGGGCATCGTCATGAAGCCCATCCTGAGGGAGCGGCGGAGGGAGGCGATGTCCCGCACTCGGACCCCGGGCCCTGGGCCAGCCCCAGGCCCCACTGGACCTGCAGGGGCCACCTCCTTACTGGAGCTGGGGAGAGAAGTGCACAGCAGAGCAGAGCAGAGGTCAGGCCTCAGGCCCTGAGGGTGCTCCTACAGCCAGGGAGGAAGCAGGGAAGCCAGAGTGAGGACAGGGTAGCTGAAGGCCCAGGGCACAGGTGCATGGGTGAGCTTACCTGGGCTCACATGGGAATGGCCCTGAACATAGGGAAAGGGGCAGACCGTGGACAGACAGAGGTACCTGCTACCAGCGTGCCCAGGTTCCACCCCTCTCATGCTGGTCTACCCATGGCCTCTGGCCTCTGCCTCCACACCAGAGGTAGAACTCACCAGCAGCCAGGCCTGAGCAGCCTCCCCTAGCTGAGCCCTCTCCCCTCCTCCCTCAGCCCTGTCTATCGTCTCCCTGCCAGGCTTCCCAGCTCACCCCTCAACTCCCTCGCAGTGTCCCCAGCTTCTGTATGAGTGTAGCGGGGCGGGAGGTGGGGGGGGTGCGGCTGGCAGGGAAGAGGGGAGAGCCGCTATGGGGTGGGCTCTCATTAGGGCCTTGTCTACTAACCCTTCATTAGGGAGAGATCACTGCCATGATGGCTCTGATTAATCTAATTAACAACAAGAATTAAACTCCACAGTTGTGAGCAGGGAGTGGCCCTGGCCCAGGCTCTCGGAGACTATGCAGTCAATGGGAATGAGGAATACAAGTGGAAAGAGAGACAGGAGAGCCAGACGTCGGGTGCCTGGAAAGACCAGGAAGAATGCAGGGATGGAAGGCAGGGATCCCCAGGCCTGGCTCTCCAGGGCCTCCCCCAACCTACACATATTGCATACACACACACAAGCACGTGCATGCCTGCACACACACACACACACACACACACACACACACACACACAGAGTGACCTCCCCAGCAGCGCAGGCTGAGAGGGGACCAGACATTTGTTCTCAGATGTCTTAGCAAAATCCCCGTCTCTAAGCCCTGGGAGAGTGATGGCATCTGCCCCTTCTGAGGTCAGGGGGAGGCAAGGGCAGCATCAAGTCCTAAACTGACAGGACAGAGGTGAGTCAGGAAGTGGTGACTCGGGCCTCCAGGGCTGGGAGCTGGGCTGGGAGCTGGGCTGGGCCAGGGTGGGTAGACTCCTTGCCATTCTGCATTGAGCACAGATCCATGAGCAGGGATCCACTGGACTGCTGACATGGCTGTGGTGCCTCGGGGAGGAGGGGCTGTGGCCAGCCAGGGGGGCTAGGCAGGGAGGGGCATCCAGCAAAGGGGGGCTAGGCAGGGAGGGGCATCCAGCAAAGGGGGGCTAGGCAGGGAGCGGCATCCAGCAAAGGGGGGCTAGGCAGGGAGTGGCATCCAGCAAAGGGGGGCTAGGCAGGGAGTGGCATCCAGCAAAGGGGGGCTAGGCAGGGAGTGGCATCCAGCAAAGGGCTTCTTACCTCCTTTTGGCCTCCTCTTCCTTGTGCTGCCTCCACTCCAGCTTGGTTTTTCGGTAGAGGAGGTTCATGTCGTGGGGCAGGAGGTGGGGGCTGAGGGGCCCTGCTCAGTGCCACCAGGCCCGGGGGGCGGCCCTCCCTGGGTCCCGGATCCACTGGTGGGGGGGGATAAGAAAAGAAGGGAGAGTGTGGGGTGAGTGTAGGAGGGGAGCCGGGAATGAATGAAGGGGAGAATAAGGGGGAGAGATGTAACTGGTATCCTCAAACAAGAGAACACAGAGAAAAGCTCCAGAAAGACCCCCATGGATTTCGAGAGACAGATACACACCCTCTATCAGCCTGACACAATTCCTGTCCTGTGTCCATGCACCCCGGGCTCCCTCACGGGCCAGCCACACACCAACCAGCCCACCACAGAGGACCAGACACACAGATCAACCTCCTCAACACACCTAGGAGCAGCCGACACACAGACACACACATCCCCCTGACACACCCACAACAGACTCGAACCTCTAGACTGCTACGCCAAACTGGACACACCTACAGACGGGGAGTGAAGCCCAGGGCCTACTTGCGTACATGACACCCCACTGGGGAAGGGGGAAGACCCGTCAGACTCCCCACTCCCTTCTGAGCTCTAAGGCTCCAAGGTTCTCATGAGGACAGGGTGGGGATGCTGAAGAAAGGGGGAGGCGGCACTCTGAGTCGGGCATCTCAAACAACAGCCGTCCATCCCTCTCGTCCCGCGGGCGTCCCCTCCTTCCCTGGGCCTGGGCCGCGGCCGCTCCCCAGCCCCTCAGCAATGGTCTCCGCCTCGGTCGCCGCTGCCTGTGGCCCAGATCACCTTCTTCCTCCACCCGGATTTGGGAGGTTGGCCTTCCCTCTCCCAGTCCCCGCCCCTCAATCCCACCCGGGGGTCTCCAGCCTGGCCCCAAAGCTACCTTCTCAGCTGCGGCCTCCATACCTGCTCCGTCTTCCCTTCCCCCCCCAAACACACACTCTGCTTTTTGCCTGCAGCCTCACTTCTCCTCCCAGGCGCCCCTCCTCACAGCCGTCCTCCCCTTCCCCTGTTTGTTCCAAACCTGGCCTGCTTCATCTCCCCCCTCTCTCCATCCAAGGGCCCCAGGTTCCCCGACACCCCTCCTCTTCCCCTTGTCCTGCTACCCGGGGTTTCTCCGCCTCTCGCCCCGCCAATCTTCCCTGCCCCTTGTCCCCCCAACCCACACCACCACCTCCCCTCACGAAGCCTCCCCAATTTCTACATCACCGTACCTGGCCTGCCGGGCGCCGGCCCCCCCATGCCGGGCTCCGCCCGGAGCAGGAGGAGGGAGGAGGAGAGACAGAGAGACCGGGGCTGGGGGGGCGGGGGGGAGCGGAGCTGGGCCCTGCCGCAGAGACAGCCCCGCCTCCGGGTCCGCCTCCAGACCCGCCCCCGGCCCCAAACCCACCCTTCCACACCCTCCAAGGACGGAGCCGGGAGCAGCCGCGCCACGCTGCGCCGCCGGCCTCGGGGAGGAGGGGGCGCACAGGGGCGGCGGGGCTGGCGGGGAGAGACTCGAGCGACGGTGTTGGGGCACCGGGGAGGGGGGCCTTGGGCAGCCCGACTCTTCCCCACCCGCTGCCTTGGGTGACGCTTTGGGGCGTCCACTCCTCGCCGCCCCTCGCCCCCTGCCCGGCCGGGTCTTGGAGACCCCAGGCGAGTGCAGCGCGGCTGGTCGCGGCGCCTCCCAGCGGCCGCCCTAGGTCCGCACCCGCTCGCCAGCCCGGTGCGCCCTAGGCTCCCCGGTTCCGCACCATCCGGCGTCGGACGCGGGCCGAGGCTGCGGCTGCAGGGGAGCCCCTGGGTGCAGTAAGGCTGGAAGGCCGGTAGGGGGGCCGCTTTCTGGGGCCCAAGTGGCTCAAAAGATGAAAGTCTTGGCGGGCGGGGGCGGGGGGGCATGTCTCAGTCCAGCAGGGGGCGTGCTCTTCTGGCCCCGCCGCCCGGCCAAGTGCGGGGAGGGCTTGGAGTGAGTTGGCTCGCTTGGTGCACGGCCACCTCCCCTTGCAGCCTTTCCGGCGCCCGAACCTTGTTCCACCGTCTGGGCTCAAAGTCTTCCGCACCCGAAGACCAAGTCACCCTTCCCGTAACCTTTGACTCTCCCGACGAGCCCGCCAGCCCCTGGTCGCACCGGGGTCTATCTCTGCGACCCCTGAAAGCCAAGGTCCCGGGAGAAGGAGGTGGGAAGCAAGGAGGGCCCCCTAAGAGATGTGACCCTGTTATAAATTTCTTCTTTCATAATTCGTTTGGCACCACCTCCATCACAGGGCAAAAAATCAGCACCTGGCAGCAAATGGGACCCCCCCAGAAGATGTGCACCTGTTTATTTCCGCCAAGTTCTATGTGGCCTTTAGGCAAGTCGCACAATCTCTGGGAGATGCCTCATCCCATACTTGCCTCCAGGACTCTCTCCAAAGGGAGTGGCAGTCAAGAAATACAAAAGGTGTTTTCTAACACCTAAAAGGCCCCACGCATTAACACCCTTATAAATGACACATCAAAGTCGTTTCGCTTTCACATTTACACTTCACTGTGAGTTAACCTAAGTGTTCATTCAGCAAGCACTTTTACGGGGATCCACTCTCTCCTACTGAGCAGACAAAGGGTGGATTTCAAGAAACTTTAGGGATACAGGTGCGAGGGTCTTAAAAAAAAACTTGCAGAAAAATCTCAAGAGTTTCAGGTTTTTTTTTTTTTTTTAATTAATTTGTTTGAGACAGACAGAGAATTTTCCAGGGCTGGACCAGGCTGAATCCATTAACCAAGAATTCCATCCCATATCCCATACGGGTGACAGGGACCAAGTACTTGAACCAGCATCGCCTGCTGCTTCCCAGGGTGCAAATTAGTAGGAAGCTGGAATGGAGAACCGAGCCAGGCCCACCGGTATGGGATGAGGGTGTCCCCAATGGCATGTCACTGCACCTCACTCCTTGCTTGCACCAGAACAGACGTATTTGAATTCCATTTTCCCATGAACTTGTTGAATATGCCTTGTTTGTGGAAGCCAGGGAAGTAGGCTCTGGGGGTTGGGATAAGGATGTAAAGCATCAAGGGCAGCCTTCTGACTACTGCCCGAGGGGGAAGGGTCTGCAGGGATGCAACCACGTTCAAGGATGCTTCTGGGATTTAAAAAAATATATATTTATTTATCTTTATTGGAAAGCCAGATTTGCAGAGAGAAGGAGATAGAAACAACTGCCATTCACTGGTTCACTTCTCAAGTGGCCAGAGCTAAGCTGATCCAAAGCTAGCAGCTAGCAGCTTTCTCTGTCTTCCACATAGGTACAGGATCCCAAGGACTTGGGCTATTCTCTTCTGCTTTCCCAGACCCTAAGCAGAGAGCTGGATGGGAAGTGGAGCAGCTGGAGCACAAACCACCACCTATAAGAGATGAGCACTTGCAGGTGGGTTAGCCAGTTGAGTCATAGCCCTGAGCCCCTGGAATGTTCATAACCTGGGAGGTCTCAAGGACCTGGAACTGTATCACTGTTGTCTTCATGGCAAGAGAGACAGGAATGATCAAGAGTTAAAGAGTTAGTACATAGGAGGGTAAGCCAGGCATTGCATTGATTTATTTTAGTCTAACCCTACAGAGCTGTTGAAAAAAAATTCCATGAGTGTGCAGTAACATTCAGCCAATCGCTGCTGGGAATCCATGCATCCTGTGTCATGTCATGTCAGAATCCCTGCTGTCAAGTCCTGGCTCCTACTGACTCCAGCCTCCTATACATGCACATTCTGGGCAGCAGCAGGTGATTGGCTCAAGGACCTGGGTCCTTGCCAACCATGTGGGAGGTGCAGATTGAGTTCCTGGCTCCTTGCTTTGGCCCTGGCCCAGTCAGGACTGCTTGAGGCCCTTAGGGAGTGACCCAGCAGATGGGACATTTCCTCCTGCCTGACATTAAAAATAATAATAATAAAAGTAATTTAAAAGAAAGAAGAATTTATTTCCTCCCATAGCTAAAGCTGACGGAGGAGAACTAAGAGAAGGAGCAGCTCCCTGTGACAGTCCTGGGGCCATCAAATACCATCAGATACCTTGGGTCACTCCAGTTGTTGGGTTCCTGGTTCTTTAGCAGGACAGGGGCATGGTATTAGCACACAATATCCACCCATATGCTTTTAATTAAAATTATTTTCTTGAAAGGCAGAGTGACAGAGAAAGAGGGAGGGACAGAGAAGAGGGATTGTCCATCTGCTGGTTCACCTCTTCAGTGGCCACAATGGCTGGGGCTGGGCCAGGCCAAAGTCAGGAACTGCTGTAGGAGCCCAAGTACTTGGGCTGTCATCGGCCACTTTTCAAGGTGCATCAGCAGACAGCTGGCACTTGAACTGGCACTCCAATATGAGATGCCAGCATGGCAAACAGTTGTTTAACCCACCCTGCCACATTTATTCCCCCTTTCATAGCTTTTAACTCATTTTCAACTGCTTATACTTGCTCAATACAACATAGATGCTATGGAAAAAGGTGTTCCACTGTACTGCTTAGGGAATGACCAACAAAAAGGTCTGTAATGTTCTGTAATGATGAATTCTTTTTTTAAAAGAATGTTTCGGTGCCTGGCGGCGTGGCCTAGCGGCTGAAGTCCTCACCTTGAATGTGCCAGGATCCCATATGGGCGCCGGTTCTAATCCCGGCAGCCCCACTTCCCACCCAGCTCCCTGCTTGTGGCCTGGGAAAGCAGTCAAGGACGGCCCAAAGCTTTGGGACCCTGCACCTATGTGGGATACCCGGAAGAAGTTCCTGGATCCTGGCTTCAGATTGGCATAGCATCGGCTGTTGGGCTCACGTGGGGAGTGAATTATCGCATGGAAGATCTTCCTCTCTGTCTCTCCTCCTCTCTGTATATCTGACTTTCCAATAAATAAATAAATCTTTTAAAAAAAATGTTTCATCATGACAACCATCCTGCTGAAAATGTCTGCTAAGTGTACCAAAAAGGAGAAAATGGCAGTTGGTGGATTGTTCTTTTTTAAATTAATTTGAAAGAGTGACAAAGAAGCTGTTTTTATCTACTGATATTATTCTCAAAGTGTCCCCGGGGCCAGGCTGAAGGTAGGAGGCTGGAATTCCATCCGGGTCTCCCACTCTCATGCAGGATCCCCAGGCCTTTGGGCCATTTTCTGCTGCTTTCCCAGGCACATCTTCAGGAAGCTGGATTGGAAGTGGAGCAAGCAGCCAGGATTCAAACTTGTATCCACATGGGATAGCTGTGAAGCAGGCAGTGGCTTCACTCCCTACCCAGATCTCCCCAACACGTGGTAGGTTTGTTTTTTCTTTAAATCATTATGTATGAATTTCTCTTAATAAGCAATGGATGCAGTGGCTGAGGTAGGTGGCTGCTCAGGTCCACCTGTATGGGTCCTTGTGGGTATTTGTGTGTCCAGAGTTCTGGAGAGAAATCAGAAGTCAGCCCCACTGCCCCCTGTGGGTCTTGTGTGGATGCCGGTGGACTTGTTGCTATGCCGGTGACAAGCCTTTTTTCAACTTCCTGGGTCTTAATTTCCACATCAGAGGAATACTGCGATGTCCAGGATCTGAGTTCAGACTGCTGCAGCCAAATACAGGAGCTTTGTAGGGAGAGACAGGGCGGGGGAAGGGGCTAGGAACTAATAATGCTTGGGAAGACTGTATACGTGGTTATCCCCACTCTGCCGCGGGACCTGAGTATTTCATCATGATTTGCCTTTTTGGTTTTTGTTTGTTTGTTTGTTTGTTTTTGAGAAGGAGTGGGGGGGAAATGGTGACAGCCTACAGCCGCACCGAAACATTTGTCAGGCGCGCCTAGTGGCGGGCAGCGGGGCACCTTGGACGGGCCGGGGGCGCTCCGGGTGCGCGCGTCTGCGGGCCAATGGCAGCGAGCGCCTGCAAGTCAGGGAATCCCGGGTGTCTCCGCCAACTCCGCCCCTTTCTCCCCGCCCTCGGACTCCGCCCTCCGAGGAAGAGCCCGGCTGGGGCCCAGCAGGTGTGGGGTTAAGGGAGCCGGTTTGGGGCCCCGGGAACACGGGCACCAAGCTGCAACTGCGAGCGCGCGGCGGCTGTGGCGGGCCTGGCCCCGGGCCAGCTGGCGAGGAGCCCCAGGAGGGAGGGAGGGAGGAGGAAGAGGGGAAGGAGGAGAGGAGGAGCAGTCAGCAGGCCCGAGGAGGCAGGACTTCCTGGTGTGGGGGTTGTCAACAGCCCAGAAAGAGAAAAGACGAGCGGCTGAGGGCAGCCGGGGAGCGGAGACAGGTCCAGAAGGACCACGCGGCTGCAGCCTTGCGAGACCCCCACTCGCACGGACCCCCGAGGCCGCCTGGAGCCGCGGGGGGCTGAAACGCTCCTCTCCCGCCAGTGACCGGGAGACCCTGCCGGCTTCGGAGGAAGCTCCTGAGCTGCGCCGAGGAGGGCGCGCACGCAGGCTCCTTTTCTGGCGAGAAAACTTTTCCACGGAGATGCCTTGCTGGGGGAGGTCCGGCCCCGGAAGAGCACGGGGCTGCCCCTAATCGCCGCCTGTGGACGGTACTCCGCTGTCCCCCTGCGGGGCCAGGAGGTCGTCGCGGGAAGGGACAGTCAGCTGCACCACCTCGGTGACCGGCGGGGAACTCTGCACCCCCTACCCTGGCTGACTGGCTGAGTTCGGTGAGGTAGGGCCCAAGGCTGGGCGGGGCGCTTGGGGCGCGGGCAGGGCCTGCCCCAGGGATGTGGGACCGGGGCGGTGGGGTGCGGGGTGCCTAGAGGAAACTCAGCGGAGGCCGCCAGGCGGCTTGGAGGAGCTGGTGCGCTCCAGACAAGATGGGTCTGGGGCGTTTGGATCCCAGGCCAGAGCCCCCCAGTCCTGTGTCCCTCACGCTTTGGTCCGTCTCTGTCAATTTCCCCCTTTCTACCCAATTCTGCTCCCTAGAGAGGAAGCCCAGGACGGAGGTGCCTACCCACTGCTTTCTCACACACATATGTGACTGACGGTTTTCTCTCTTTCCAGTTTGCAAACTCAGCTCTGGAGTGTGGCGGCTGCAGCTGCGACAGCAGCAGGAAAAACCTGCCCCTGCCCCCCCTCCTGCCACCTCCCCTACCTTGTTCTGTCACCAGCCAGGCACCCCCCAGTTCCCACCAAGCCCTGCTCTGGACATGTCGGACTCAGATGTCCCCAGGGGCCCTGATGCCCCCGCCATGTGGCCCCCCTGTTCTAGGGGTGCCTGAGCCCCTTCCTAGAGCCCTGGCTCTCCCCTTCTGCCCCTTGACCTCAACCCAGTCCTGATCCCGGGGACCATGAGTGGAGGCAAGAAGAAGAGTAGTTTCCAGATCACCAGCGTCACCACTGACTACGACGACGGCCCAGGGAGCCCCGGCAGCTCTGATCCCCCTGCCCCACCGGCCCCCGCCGCTGGGCCCCCACCCCGCCTGCCCAATGGGGAGTCCACCCCTGACCCTGGGGGTAAGGGAACCCCCCGGAATGGCTCCCCACCACCTGGGGCCCCTGCCTCCCGCTTCCGGGTGGTGAAGCTGCCCCACGGCCTGGGGGAGCCTTACCGCCGAGGCCGCTGGACATGTGTGGATGTTTACGAGAGGGACTTGGAGCCCCCCAGCTTCGGCCGGCTCCTGGAAGGCATTCGAGGGGCCTCTGGGGGTGCTGGGGGGCGATCTTTGGATTCCAGGCTGGAGGTGGCCAGCTTGGGCCTGGTCGCCCCTATTCCACAACCAGGCCTGTCTCAGGGCCCCACCTCCTGGCTGCGTCCACCCCCTAGCTCCCCTGGGCCTCAGGCCCGCTCTCTCACTGGGGGACTGGGCCAGCTTTCGGTGGGGCCAGGCAGGGCCAAGGTGGAGACACCCCTGTTGTCGGCCTCTCCACCCCAGCAGCGCCTCGCAGAGCCTGGCACTGGGGATAGCGCTGGCACGTCCCTGGCTACCACGCCCCTGCCCTCCGTAAGGGTAGATGTGGAGGCCGGGGCTTTGGCAGCAGCGGGGATCCCTCCAGTGTCCCGAAGGCAAGATGGAGCTGTGCGACTGAGGATGGAGTTGGTTCCTCCCGATGAGCCTGGACAGGTGAGAACCGGGTTCCAGGCTTGGAGACATCAAGGTGTCCCTGTGTGTGCCTCCCAGCCTCAGCCCGCCTGCCACCAGCCCCTGCCCCGTCAGCCGTCTGTCCCCTCTTTCTCTCCCTGCTAGTGTCACACTTTTGGTGTGCATTCTGTCTCTGTTCTCTCTCCACGACTCTCTTCCCTACAGGCTGCACCCCTTTTATCTGTAGCTTCTCATGTGTGACCTTTGACCCTCACCCTGTCTGCACAGCCTATGGCATGTGTGGCATGCTCACTTGGTCTTCTCTTCTTCCGTCTGACTCCAGGTGACGGGTGGGCTGGGTGGCTGGGCCCCTGAATCAGGAGTTGCCCTGTTTTTTGGGGGGTTGCAAAATATGTAGCCTCTCCAGGGTAGCTCCTTTCTGAGGTGGGGGATGGAGGGCATATTCTTTCTACCAGCACCCAGCCTAGCCGCTTCTCAGTTTCTTGAGGAATCGGGTGCAGGTGGGCAGAGCTCACAGGTTTGGTCTGTCTTTGTGACTGCCATCTGTAGGATTGGTAAGCAGAGGGTGGCCCCCATGGCGTGTGGGAGAGATGTGGGAAGCAGCAGAGAAGGAGTTAACTTCTTTGCGTTTCTGCTTCCGGTCTCCAAAAGAGGAACATGTCTGGGCTGGGGGCAGGATGCCTGGGTCCCTGGGGTGGGGGTGGGCAGTCAGGAATGTGGGGTTGGAGGCCTCTGTTCAGAAGGAGAAAATAACACCTTGGGCTGCGGGGGGGTGGGGGGGGTAGGCCAGGAGGGCCAGGAGAGAAGTTTCCCCCCCTTCCTGGCCTTGGGCACAAACCACAGTATAAAAATAACCTGAGACTGGGTGTCTGGGCCCTGTCAGGACCGGTCAGGACTGGCTCCCCACCCCCTCCTGGCCTCAAGCTCCCAGCTCTCATGACCCCCACCACCCCCACCTTTCTTGAGCTCTTCCCTTCAGTTACAACCCCAGAGGAGGAGATGATAGACGCTGCCATCTGCCTCCACGTTTGTCCCTGTCCCCCTGCCTCTTCCAACGATAGCTTCCTTGGCACCCTGCCCCCCCCCGTGCCCTCCAGCTAGCCAGTCTGTGCTTCCCAGGGGTCCATGGACCCTGCTGCTCATTCCAAGTGCCTGCGACCCCCTTCTGTCCACCATGGCTTCATCATTTCCTATGTGTACCACACCTGGGTCTGTTTCTCTCCCCTCTGCAGCCCTCCCAACACAGTGCCTCCCACAGAAGCTGAAAGGCTGGAGGAGAGCTGGCTCCCCCTTCCCGCCCCCCCATCCTCCTACTCTGCTGAGTCCCTCCAACCAGCCTGGACTCCCTGTTCTTGGCTCTTCCGAGAAACCCGGGGGCCTCCTGGGGCCTCACAGAGCCATCTTGTGTTGTTCCTGTCACCCCCGCCCTATGGCAGCCGCCCCCAGCGTCTGCTGGGCCCCGCCTCCTCCTCCCCCGCCCCTGCAGCACTGCACTCTGTGCCCCCCAGCCCTAGCCCCATGGGGGCCATGGAGACTGGGAGCACCTTCTACCTGGTGGGGCCCAGGGAGTGAGGTGGGAGAAGCACTTCTGAGGATCCATTCATTCTAGAAATAGCGCTGAGCAAACTCACTTTCTCACAGGGCAGCACCATAAATACTTTCATTTCAGATAATGTTAGCTATATATTAAAAAAAAAAAAAAGTGAGAGGGTCTATGCACTTTGCTGGAGGGCGACCTCTCTGGGGAGGTATTATGAGTGGCTTTCAGAAGACAGGTGTCTGTGGCAGCTGCTTTCTGAGGGGTGGGCCTGGTTTGGGGTGGGGGAAGAAAAGAGCTCACCAGGGTGCAGACCAGAGGGCCCTCGTCTATGACTGAAAACCCTTCACCCCGGTTCTTAGGACTATGCCACTCTGCTGGCTTTTAGTACTTGCTCAGAGTCTTGTCAGGGTTGGAGGAGGGCAGCACTTGGGGGACAGGACTCCCTGGGTCCTTGGGCGAGGTGTGTGTGTGGAGTAGGCAGAGAGGAAGACCACCAATGCTCCTGTCTTTCTCTCAACATGATGGCTCTTCACTCCTCTGCCTCCAGGTGCCCCCACTCGACTCTCGCCCCAGCTCCCCAGCCCTCTACTTCTTCCCTGATGCCAGTCTGGTTCACAAGTCGCCAGATCCCTTTGGAGCCGCAGCAGCCCAGAGCCTCAGCCTGGCCCGCTCCATGTTGGCCATCAGTGGTCACCTGGACAGCGATGACGATAGGTAGGTGGTCTCAATGCAATCAGGTGTGAAGTTTAGGTGCCCCCGGCCCTCTTGTCCAGCCCCTGAGCTGACAGCCTGGCACTCCCTGGCAGGTATTCTCCCCACCAGGCGAACTGGAAGAAGACCTGTTGAGGAGAGACCTGGCCTGGGCAATAGCCACTGTGCATAGTGGATTGGGGACCCACTCCCTGCTTGCGGAGAAGGCTGGGTGGGACTCCCTGGCTCCACGGCTGTCAAGTCAGAGACTCTTTTAAGCGTGTGAAGGAGCTCATTGTTGTTCAGATTCCAGAGCTCTTACAGACTGAGAGATGATCAGCCCAGCCCAGGGTGCCCACTGGCCAAAGTTCTGGAGGGAGTCAAGGACAGGGATCCGTCTCCTCCCAGGACGGCAGGGGGGCCGTGTCCTCTCCTGGTCAGCATGGGTGGGTAGAAGCTGCTGGCCTTTGCCCTTTTAGAGGATGGCAGAGTGGGAACAACTTCCTGTTTCGAGTCTGGGTTCCAGCACTCATGGAACAAAATCGCATGCATCCGATAACCAGACTGCTGGCTTCTGGCTGTGGACTGATAGGAGCCGAGGAGGAGGAGGAGGAAGAGGAGGAGGGCTGAGCCCTGGAGGGGAGGGACTTCCTGTCTGGAAGGAAATGAGCTGTGGGGACTTCACCAGGGAGTGTGAGTGGGTGCTGGGAGACCCCATCCCAAATGGAAGTTGGTCCTTCCTGCCCTCCCTGAAGGTTGTGCCTCCCCCAATCCAGGTCTGGGACTCAGAATGGAAAGGTGACTAGAGACACTGGGGGAAGTGGAGACCACAGAGGAAACACAAAAGGCTCACCAGGGACTGGCAGCTGGGAGGGCCAGGGGTTGTGTCTGGCCTGGCAGGCCGGGCAGGCAGGCAGGGTGGCAGGCAGTGGCTAGCTGTCAGGAATGTGTGAGGTGTGAGGTCGGCCAGGGCCTGCGTGGTCACCTGCCCTCTGGGCTGCTATTCTCAGCGCTCCTCTTACTCTCCACCTCTCCCTACCCCCACCACCACTTGGGAGGTCCCCTGGCAAGAGGGTGCCCTGTTCCACCCCACCCCCACCTCCATCAGTCACCATTTTCTGTCTCCAGAGGCCCCTCAGCTTCCTTCTTTGGGCTCGTCCCACCTACTCTGAACACCCTAGTCTGACCGGTCAGGCTCCCAGCCTCACTGACTCCAAGACGGGGTCTGGCCCAGCCAGCCTGGCCCCTCTGTGCCCTACCCCGCTGCAACAGCGGGTTTGGGTTGGGCCACCCCCTGGTGCCCAAGAATGGGGTGTGTAGACCCCACCTCAACCCATCTGATGTGCCTGGAGCTGCCAGGAGAACCAGGGGACCTCCATTTGGAAAGTGCCTAGGTGAAATGGAGGTGCTGCCTGGCCAGCCCCTAGTCCTGGGGTTGAGGGTGCCTGGGGGGAGTTGTGATGACTCCTGTCCTCTGGGCCTGGCAGGTGGAAGGGATTTGAGTAGGGGTGCAGAAGTGGGTGGGTGGGTTTGTGGCCAGCAGCATGGCGAGTTGGGGAATATTCCAGAGACTTGGAAGTGAGCAGCTGTATGTATTCAACCAGAGGCTTCTTTGGGCACCCCGGGCAGCCTCTTATCCCATGAAATTCCAAAAGCAGCCCCAAGACCCACAGCTTGTCGAGGGTCTTTTGGAAGTGCCGAGACTACGCTCACAGCGCCACCCTCTGACCACCCTCAAGGACATGTCTGTGTCCCGAGAGAGCAGGCAGCCATGAGTTCCAGGATGCCTCTCTCTAGGGCAGAGGCAAGAAAGCTCTTCTAGCGGGGCAGGGAGCCAACCTCCTCTCCCCCTGCCAGGCCTGGCCCCGCCCCCTAAGGCTCCACAGATCCGGGAGAGAGTGGGAAAAGGACAGCCGGATGCCACTTCTCCATGGCCTCCTGCCCAGATACCCACCTCCCCGGGACTCCCTGCAGGAGACAGTGTAGGGCTGGCCCAAGATCTGAACCTCGACACCTCTCCCAGATGCCCGGCCTTGCATGGAAGCCAAGCTGAGTCTTTAACTTGACCTTCCAAGAGGAAGACCACACCCTCTTAAGGACTGTTCACACACACACACACACACACACACACACACACCTCTGACCCAAGAGTCCCACAGAGTTGGAGGACCCCCTCCCACCCCCACTGTGCAGGCCACACCCTGCAGGGCCCCTCTGGCTGCCCCTTACTCCTGCAGTCACAAGGACCCTGGGAATCGGGCAGTTATTCTGGAAAGTGGCACTGACACCAAAAGGGGGCTTTCCTTCCTTCTGTACGTAGTCTTGCTTTTGGGTCGCTGGGCATCCAGTGGCAGTTTCAGTACAGTGTCCCTAGCCTTCTGCCTGGGGGCTTCTCCAGCTCCTGGCCAGAGGGGTTGGGTTACCAGCGTCCAGGCCTCTGGCCGCATTCCTGTTGGAGCAGTGAGTGTGCTGTTGGGCTCCATGGAACGGACTGGGCAAACGGGACGTCTGTCTGCCAGCCAACGAGTGTTTTTCTCTTTTATTTCTGTCAAGAACAAACAACACACTTGGGTCTTTAGGCAGGCATCCACTAAGCAGGGCCTGTGTTTCTATTCCATGCACGCCTACTCCCTCCCTGGTGTCTGTGTTTCCCAGGGGTGGGGGACCCCAATCTCTGCCCCGACTTGTAGCTGGCTGTCCACCCCACCCTCAGGAGCCCCCTGATGTCTTCCCCTACACCTGCTCTCTCAGACCTGGTCACCCCCTTAATTGCTTCACCTGTCCCTGCCTTCTGCACCGTGAGCTTGCACAGGAAATGGAAAATCCCCAGCTCCCTTGCATTCCCTTCCTGGCTGCCAGGCTTCAGGCAAGGGTCACCTTGAACTGCGTGCTGATCCCCCCCCCCACTGGGAAGCGGACAGCCCTGGAAGGAGGGCGGGCTTTCTGAGGAGCGCCAGGGTGTGAGGGTTGCAGGAGAGTTGGTGGGAGGCCTGCTCTGAGGGGCTCAGCTGGAGGCCAGGACTGGTGCCTGGTGAGCTTGCAGCAGCCCAGGGGACAAAGGTGGAGGCCAGCCAGGGGCAAAGGCAGGCGCTGGATGGGAGTGGATGGTGACTCACGATGGATGAGGCAGGGGCCTGAGTGCTAAGGAGAGTGAGCCTGGGAACACGGCCTGCGGGGCAAAAGCAGTGAGGGAGGGGCTAGAAGGAGGTCCGTGCTGTCCTGGGCCCAGCTAAGAGCCTGACCGTGAGGGATTGTTAAACCGGGCATGCGTCGACATCTGGTGGCCATTTAGCAAACTGCGCCGAGACTGGCTGCCGGCTCCGTGCCATCCCGATCCTTGCTCTCCCAATCCCTTGCTCCTCTTCCCTGCGTCCCAGCCTAGCCTGCCTACCTCTGCTGAAGCCCTTACTCTCTACAAAACCCCAGCTTTAGTTCCCAGAGCTACAGGTCACGTGTGTCACCCAGGCTTCAGGGGTCATCCATGATGTGCGTGAAGGATTCCTACAATGCAAGGGAGCCTCCAGCACAAACAGGACTTACTTCCCATTCGCAGCCCATTTTCCAAAACCTTGAGGGAAGACAGTGTTAGCCCAATGTAGCGGTCAGAGAAGCAAGGGGACCGGGCTCTTCCTCACCCTCACACCCCTCCCCAGTCCAGGCCTCTTGTGTCACAGCCCTTCCCCCACCCGCCACCAGCTGACTTCCTGAGGCCATCGCCCCCTCCCCTCCACTCTGGGATTGGTGCCAGGGTGAGAAGGGGACACTGGCACTGACCATGTCTGGGAATTCCCGCCCACTGTGGAGCCATGGGGGGGAGGGGGTTCCCGTGTCCCCAAGGAGCCAATCGCAGAGGGCTCTTGTCCCTGGGGTGGGGGAGGCAGTGTATATCTCAGGCTCTGTCTCCTCTCTGCCTCTCTGACACCAGCCAGACCTTGCTCTGCTCTGAGGGGGGCTTTGAGCCCCCCAGGCATTCCCTGGGATACTACCCTCTCCCTCTGGGGGTCCGGGAGCCCTTGAAGCCTCTCTCCCCTCAGGGATGGCCCAGCCAGGGGTGTCTGTCAAGTCACTGGTGTCGTCTTATGAAACCCGAGTAGTGGGGATGGCTCCTGGGCCACCCCGGAAAAGGGGCTGTGTCTCTTCCCCCTGCTCCCCTCGAGGAGCCTCCCCAATTCGGGGGGCACCTGCGCCTGCTCCCCACCGGGGCCTGGGGACACCTGGGCAACGGCCCTCACCCCGCCGAGGGGTGGACAAAACGCTCCTGTCCCTGATTCTCTACTGTCACAGGTACAGGATCTGGTGGGCAGTGATGGAGGGGGGCTTGTGACAGGGCTGGGGCCATTGCAGGAAGGACAGGTCCAGGTGGGCGGTGGTGGGCTGGGCTGTTTGTTCCTCACCTCTGTCCTCCTGGTGTCTTTTCAGTGGTTCCGGAAGCCTGGTTGGCATTGACAACAAGATCGAACAAGCCATGGTAAGAGAAGCCACCGACCCATGCCCTTATAGCCCCCTTCACTCCCAGCCCTGACACCTGCTGAGCTCTGGGCATCCTTTCCCCTGGCCAACACCTGGCTGCATCTTCCCTGGGGCGCAGGGGAGTCCCTCATGGGCAGGGTTGCTAGCCTGGTTGCCCTGACACTTCCCCTGTGCCTGGTCCTCAGGACTTGGTGAAGTCCCACCTCATGTTCGCAGTCCGGGAGGAAGTGGAGGTGTTGAAGGAGCAGATTCGAGACCTGGCTGAGCGGAACGCGGCCCTGGAGCAGGAGAACGGACTGCTGCGGGCACTGGCCAGCCCAGAGCAACTGGCCCAGCTGCCGTCCTCGGGGCTCCCACGGCTGGGACCCCCGGCACCCAACGGGCCTTCCCTCTGAGCCTCTCCCATCCCTCACAATGTGCCTTTGGGGGCTGCCGGAGCAGCTGGGATTTGTGCCAGCTGCCTGCCCCCTCTTCCTATGCAGCTTTAATACCCCAGCCCCAGGGAGATGGGAGTTCAAGGCTGGTATTGGCCTATGCCCCTCCCTCCCCAACACCCAATCTCCCCATAGTCCCTGGCCTTGATGGAGGAGGGTGGGCTTTGGGACAGAATGTTATCTGGAGTCCCCTCCACACTGCCCTCCCAGGTGTCAGTGTTTGGGGACCCCCAGTAGTAGGCAAATTGAGGGGAGCTAGAAAGGCTCCCTGGCAGATACCCAACCCCTATTTTGTGCCCTTAATGTGCCCCTCCCCCTGTGTCCTAGGGGAAGGAGTGTGACAGTATCTGGAAGTTCTGGGATTCAGGTTGTTATTAAAATAATAATTATAATTAAAAAAAAAAACTGAAGAAACTTGAATTTGGAGGAGGTTGGTATCTCATTGCTTGTAATTGGGGAGGGCTGGATGGGTACTACGGCCAGGGTCTGAACACTCTGCCCAGGACCTTGTGCGGACTGGGTAGGTTTAATGTGGTGGAGGTGGACTGGTTGAGATGCAGGGTCCTGGGAAGGGGCAGGCAGGCCAGGCCAAGAGGAGTGGGGCGGCTGCCCACGTGCTGGGGGAGGAGGGAAACAATGAAGCCTTTGGCGACATTGCAGGATCCACCTCTGGCTTCCCAGCGTGTCCCCTCTGCGGGCTGGATCCGGGTGGCTGCTTAGAGGCGGGGCGGGGGCCCTCAATGGGCTCCTTGTCTCAGGGCTGGGTGTGGGCCAGGCTCCCTAGGCACACGTTGCCCTCGCCAGGCCTGGCTGGCTGCTGTGGCTTCCACCCCCAGCTGGCTGAGGATGGGCCCTGTGGGGCTGAGCAGGCCCCTCCTTAGCAGCCTTGGCTCCTATCCTGTGTGGAAGAAGCAGCTGGGAAGAAGGACTCCATCGAAGGGGGCAGTGGCAGCTGCAGGCTAGAAGGGACCCTGTGAGGGGTGATGGGCCTGGAAAAGGTAGGGGAAGCTGGGCCGGCCTGAATTAAATTCCAGGAGAGGCAGTAGATCTTGGGTCTGCTGGTTCACTCCCTGAGCTATGATGGCCAAGCTGAAATTAGGAACCAAGAGCTTTCAGGTCTCTCACATGGGCAGTAGGAAGGCTAGGTACTTAAGCCATCCTCTGTTCCTTTCCCAGGTGCTTTAGCATGGAACTGGATGGGAAACAGAGCAAGTGGGAAGGGAATCCAACTAGTGTTCATAAGGGATGCTGGCCCCTTGCGGGTGGCAGCTTTACCCTGCCCAGCTCTCCAGATTTCTTCTGGCTTCTCAGAGCCTCAGATTCCTCATGGGTATAGTGGCCTTGATGGGAAAACCTACCTTGCAGGATGGTTGGGACAGTCCCGGGGTGAGCCACAGCAAAAACCCAGCATATGCTAGGCCCTCCTTAAGTGTTAACATTCTTTCCCCTGGATCTGGAGGAAGAAGGAACTGGGACATGGGATTGGCTCCATGGGTTCCACAGGGTGGGTTCTGGAGGGGCCTCGGGGGTTGGGGGAAGGGTGGTCAGGGCCAGGCAGGCCCTCACAATGGGCTAGAACCCTCCCTTCCTCTGGGTTCTCACCCACTTGACTCCTCTCCCTGCCCCAGGGAGGGGAGGAGAGGCCTGGGATGAGTCGAGGGGGGCAGCTTTCCCTCTGGATTTCTTATTTCCTGCTTTGCTGCTGTGCCTGAAGCTCCTCAGCTACCACAAGACTTCTGGGAGGGGGCGGGGGCAGCTGGGGAAGGGGTATCCTACAGCCTGTCTCCTACCCCACCCCTACCCCATGCTGGTCCTTCCCACAACTTTGGGTTTGCGGTGTCAGGAAAGATGGCTGTGGTGATGAGATTCTTCAAGTGGGTTAGGCGAGTTTGGTGCAAGATTTCTTGCTGGGTGAGTTGTCCTCAGGATTTCTTGGGGCATGGGAGCTGGCATGGACCCCTAGGTCACAGCAGTCACCACCCCCCCTGTGGCTGGGGGGCCTTTGGTGCTGTTAACTATGATCTCTGCTCTGCTATCCTCTCCCTGTCTTGGTGATAGATCCTCTCCTGGAGACACAGAACAAAGCCAGCCATCTTGGATGCTTCCGCCTCCAAGAAGCAGGCATTGAAGGAGACAGAGAAGATCCCCAAGGCGTTTGAGACGTTCAAGTTGGTCGAGTCCGCCAAAGAGGCCAAGACACCCAGGACAGATGAGTGCCCCAAGGTGGCTGGGTCCCTCGTGTTGGCCAGGGTCCCAGACCGACCCCAGACGGAGAAGGGCCGCCCAAGCCGATCCCTGCTGCAGCTGCCCCGCACTGCTATGCGGTCCATGTCCACGCTCATGTTCTCAGCCCTGCAGACTGGCTGGCAAATGTGCAGTTGGAAGGTGAGTGCACCCTTCCCCCCTATCCACCGGCTTTCCTGCACTCCTGTCTGCTTCCCCAACCCCCAATGACTCATTCCTCCCTCAGTTCAACTGTTACTTCCTGTATCTCCAAGGTTGCCAGGCACAGAAGATAACCCTGAGGGACCAGGCTTATCCAGCCTGGGGGTGTGGGGGTCTGATAAGTAAGAGACGTCATTGGCTCAGTGTATCCCTAAGGGGTGTGACATGGAAAAGGGACGCCTTGGGAGCAGGATGTGGGGGAGGGTACCCCATCTAGGAAGACCTTCCAATCAGAAAGGAGGGTGAAACTGTGGCCAGAAGAAGTTAGCTTGGTGAGAGGGAAGGGGCGTGTGTGTGAGAATGAGTGATGGCAGCCCTTGAAGACATTTGAACAGAGGAGTAGCATGCCTAGGTTTTGATTTAGAAGGTGTGTCTCATACACAGCTGGCTGGTGAGTGGTCAAGGGACACGGCTATTCCGGTAGAGAGCCCAACGGGTCCCTATCAAGTTAAATATGTAGTTGTCCTGGGACCTGGCTATAGTGCTCATGGACCTCAATCCCGGATAAATGAAATACTATGTTTACACCTGCACCAGCCTGTGGAAGTGCCTTGCAGTCTTATTTGTCAGAGCCCAAGGCCCTGTAGTGAGTGAATGAATGGGTGGATGGTAAGAGCCCCAAGCTCTGTGTAGGGCTGGCAGTGTGTGACTGGGGCGCAGGACCCCCAAGAGTGGGTGGTTCATGCAGTTAGAGGTTGCATCTTCACGATGGTTGCAGCCCCACGTTTGTCCTCGGAGGGTGGAAGAGATGGTGGGAGAGCATAAGGAAGAGATGGCGTAGAGGGACAGGGAGCCAGGGGAGTCTCTTTCTCTTTCTGAGTTTTTATATATATTTATTTGAAAAGCAGTTACAGAGAGAAAGGTGAGACACACAGAGAAATCTTCCATTCATTAATTGACTCCCTAAATTACTACAGTGACCAAAGACAGGAGCCAGGAGCTTCATTCAGGTCCCCCACATGCGTGTCAGGGTCCAAGAACTTTGGGCCATCTTCCACTGCTTTCCCAGATGCATTAGCAGGGAGCTGGATTGGAAATGGAGCAGCAGAGACTGGAACTGGCACCTGAGTGGGATGACTATGTTACAGGCAGTAGCTTGACTTACTGCACCACAATGCCTGCTCCTAAACTCCCTTTTTATATCAGTCCACTCACATAGGACCTGAGGTCCTGTGACAGCTGTATCAGGCCCTTCTAGGGTGTGCCTCTCAATGACTTCATTGCCTACCATGAGGCCTCACCTCTTAAAGGCTCCACTATCTCCCAGTATTGCCATGCTGGGATCAGACTTGCAGTACACGATCCCTTGGGGTACACATATAATCCAAATTCAAGCCATACTACTTAGTAACAAAAGGGGGTGTACCACTAATGCCTGCAATAGCTTGGGTGCATCTCAAGGAAGTTATGCTATGTGAACAATTCTAGATGTTGCATTCTGGAAAGAACAATATTATGCAAGTGGAGAACATATTAGTAGTTGCCAGGAGTTACAGGGGAAGGAGGTTACAAAATGTTAACATGAGGGCTGACATCGTGGCACAGCGCATTAATCCTCTGCCTGCAGTGCTGGCATCCATATGGATGCTGGTTCAAGTCCTGGCTGCTCTGCTTCCAGCCCAGCTCCTTGCTTATGACCTGGGAAAGCAGGAGAGGCTGGGTCAAGTTTTTGGGGCCCTACATCCACGCAGGAAACCCAGAAGAAGCTCCTGGCTCGTGACTTTGAATCAGCTCAGCTCTGTTGTGACCATTTGGGAAATGAACCCACAGATGGAAGAGATCTCTCTTTATCTCTCTCTTTTCCTTTCCCTTCTCTCTCTCTCTCTGTAAATCTGCTTTTCTAATAATAAAAAAAAATCTTTATTCTTTAAAAGGGAAGCTCATTGAGTCACTGGCAGATTCATTTATTTCAGTCTTATATAAAGGTAATTATGTTAATCTGGCTGTGCTGGGAGAGGGGATTAACTGGTGACAGGAGGGACAGAAAGATCCTTCTGAAAGCTGAGCAGCCCAGGTTGAAAAAGAATGTTCTGATTCAGGGGGAGAGGCAGCAGGTAGAGCATGTTCATGGGTTCAGGTAGCATTTGGGGGTGAATGAAGGAGGGGAAAAAGTCAGGCAGAGGGCAGAGAATGAAGGGCAGCGGGTGGCCATGAGACACATGGTACCTTTAGGGGTCAGGAGGACATCTGTGTGGACATGTCCAGGAGGTGGCAGAAGTCAGAGGCCTGGAGGTCAGGGCTGGTGGGAACATGCTGTGTTTTTGCTTGTGACTGTATATCACCAGCTTCAGGGAAGGAACTGGGGGCTGTTGGGCATAGCCCCTGCTTTCCAGGAGTTTCTTTCTCACATGGAGAAAACAGTATGTGAACTATGGGGTAACAGGGCCAAGCCCAGAGCAGAGATGGCTGAGTACCTGCAGAAGCAGTCTGAGGAGGCTTCCCAGAGGAGGTGGCGTTGGGCTGTGGATCTGCAGCTGACTTCTTCTCCCCAGACCCATGCAGCTCTTTTTTTTTTTTTTTGTAATTATTTTATGTTGACAATCTTTACATAGTTGATTAGGACACAAGACCCATGCAGCTCTTGACCTCAGGCACGTGTGCTGCTTGTTTTCTAGTCGTCTCTGAGTTCTGCCTCAGGGGTCCGCCAGATGAAGAGCCCATCTCCTTTGGAGTCCCCAGAGGCGGAGATGCTACGGGAAGTATACCTGGTGTTGTGGGCCATCCGGAAGCAGCTGCGACAGCTGGCCCGCAGACAGGAGCGGCGGCACCGGCACCACGCCAGGCCCCTGTCTCCCCAACCTGACCAAGCACAGGTCCTAAAGCAGGATGCCCGAAGTCCCCTGTAAGGGGAGAGCCCCAGAGACTCCGAAAGCCCCCGCCTGACTCCTAGGTAAGGTGGACTGCAGGGGTCAGAGCTGCAGGCCCGAGCTGTGGGTGAGGGGACATTGTCATCCTGTCCCCACGCATTGGAAACCCAAGGTCTGGCTTGGGTCCTGCATACTCCCCTTCATTCCATGTATTCAATGTGTAAAAAAAAAAAAAGTTACCCAAATATTGGAAAATAAATCAGATATTTCTGAGTAAATGTCTGTGTGTGTGGGTGGATGGAGGAATTAGCAGCGCTAGCTTAGGCCAGGGAGGTTGGCACCAAATGTGAGTGATGTTGTGGGGATGAGGGAATCAATGGATCCTGGCCCTGGGTCCTCACACCCTTCTCGGAGCTGAACCGCTTTCAGCAGCTCGAGCCTGGCCAAGTTACAATGGCACCAGGGTCCATGAATGGTGGACCCACACACACACCAGGCATCCACTGGCGACCTTCCTTAGCAGTCCCACAAGCAAGGTGTGTAGGGTGGGTTACAGGGTCCTCCCAAGGCCCAACATTATTTTTCTCATTGTTCTGTTCCCTGGATTCTTGGAGTTGGCCATACAGGGTGGTGTGTCTCAGGGCTACAGGAGATCCACCTGCTGGGGAGGAAACACTGCCTGCTTCCCTTGGGGCCCTGCAGAATGCCCTGGGCACAGGGCCTGAGTGGGAGTCTGGGAGAGAGACTCACAGAGAGACTGCACCCACAGGAGGCCAGGCTGTGACACGGGGCTTTGGTGGGTCCAGCCCATCTTCATGCTGGAGACCAGAGCAGTATGGATGCATATTTCACTCTCAGGCCCAGCCTGCCCTGTAGCTGGGCGGCAGAGCTACGTAGAGCAAAGCTGGGACAGCTCACAACCAACATGTGGGGATTTGAGATTTCACAGGGCTGGGGTGATGGGACAGGGCAGGAAGGCAGCAGAGCTGAGCCACAGTGGGGGCAGCAGAGGCCCCCAGGGTTGTGGGGAGAGGAGAAGACTGAACTGGGTCTTGTGTGAGGTTACCAGTTGAGCACAACCAGAGGTCAGTAACACTGCCTCCAACTGGCACTTCTGCAGACCTGGAGTGTTTGACCCCATTGCTGGAAAACTGGAAAGTATTTCTGGGGTCTGGAGTTCCCCTTCCCCAGCATTACTACTGCTGACCTGTCTGCCGCCCACCACCTAGCACCTACTGCTTAACGTGACTGCCACGGTTCCTGGCAGCCCTGGTGTTTTTGGAGCCCCTCCAAACCAGCTTGAGGCTGCAGGGAGAGAAGGCAGGGTGGGTGTTTACTGGGGAACAGCCTGGCAAGCAGCTACACGTCCAGGAGCCATGGTGGGCTGGAGGCTGTGGGCCTGGGGGGTAAGGGGTGGCAAAGGAACTCTGCTCCCACTTTTCTTAGGGGAGTGGGTCCGGGTGTGGGGAAGACAAGTTCAGCTACAGCTGAGGCAGTTGCCAGCTCATGCCACCCCTTCCTCCCCGATACAGTCTTGTCTGGACTTGGCCAAGCAGGGGCAGGGAGGTCTTGTGGGAGAGAGGGAAGAAGGGAATGGCTAGTACAACTTACTGTGACTGCATTCTTGGCTGTCTTAAGTAATCCAATCCCTGGAGAAGACTATAGTGGGACCAGAAGAAAGCGCGTGGGATCTTGGGCAGGGGGATTCTTACAAAATCCTCTGAACAGTGGGGACAGAAGTAGCCGCTGCAGCACAAGGAAAGTCCTTCAATGGCCTCTGAGCCAAAAATACCCTAGGAGTCTCCACTCCTGTTTCCCTTCAAGCCCCAGATACCTCAAGACAGCTCTACCTCTTGGGGTGGGAATGGCAGTTGTGGACCCAGGTGGGTTTAGGGGTCCTGCCTTGAGACACAAGGGGGAGGAGGTGTGTGAGTGGCGGATGGGGTTGGAGGGACTGGTGAGGGGCCAAAGTTGTTGCAGAGTGCATTCAGCATTCCACATGGGTGCCAGTTGAAGTGCTGGGTGCTCCACTTCCCATCCAGCTCTGCACTAGCAGAGCTTGGGAAAGCAGCAAACCTGCCGTGTCTTTGGGCCCCTGCACCCATGTGGGAGACCTGGAAGAAGCTCCTGGCTCCTGGCTTTAGACAAGCCCATCCCTGTCTGTTGCACCTTTGGGGAGGGAACCAGCGAATGCAAGATGCTTCTGTCTCTGTCTTCCCTTCTCTCTCTAAATCTGCCTTTCACATGAGTTAATTAATAATAATAAAAAGAAAGGCCGTCTGTGTCTGAGTTCACATGCTCTGATCTGCCCCTCAGCCTGGTGGGACGATGACGAGTTAGGGGCATAGGTTATGGGATCGCAAGGCCAGCATCCACACAGGTGTGTGGTTGAGGGACAGACAAAAGTACCTGCTGAGTGAGGCACTGTGGCCCTGGGCCCAGCATGCACCTGCCCTGCCCCCTCCCCCTGCTGCATCCATGTCCCCCTGGATTTGGGGCCTGAGAAGATGTTCAGGGAGGGCTGGGGACAGGTGTCCCTAGGCAGTGGGGGAAGGGGAGTGCTTAGATCTTTTGCTCCTGGGAGGTGAGGTCATGGCTGCCAGATCTGTCAGGGCTGCTGTCTTTCTGCCTCCGCTGGGATTCTTGGGACCTCAGACAGCCTCTGAGACCTCGGAGGGTGGGGGTGGAGGAGCAGGGGTGGGGTCCTGAGAGAGCAGGTCTCCTCTGCTCTGCTCTCTTAGTTTCCAAAGCTCTTGCCAGTGCCACTCACTGGCTTCCCTGTGCCTCCCACTCCCTTACCCCCACCCCCAGGGACAGTGACTGGCAAGGGCAGGTTTAGAGATGTGACCACGGCCTTTTGTGCTGCATAAGGGGCCTGCCCTGGCCTAGCAGGGTGGCTGAGCTGGGGCAACTGGGGTCCAGGGCTGAGGGTGGGGTGGGAGGGAGGTCTCTACCATCCTGCTCTCAGGTTAAGTGGGAGCTGTTTGGGCCCTGTGCAATGGCTCAGTGGCTAAAATCTCACCTTGTTAGCGCTGGGATGCCATATGAGCATGGGTTTATGAGTCCTGGCTGCTCTACCTCCCATTCACCTCCCTACTTTTGGCCTGGGAAAGCGGTTGGAGATTTCGCAAAGCCCTGGGACCCTGCACTCATGAGACCTGGGAGAAGCTCCTGGTCCCTGATCTTGCATTGGCTCAGCTCCAGCTGTTGTGGCCATCTTGGGAGTGAATCAGAGGGTTCTGTCTCTGCTCTCTGTAAATCTGCCTTTCCGATAAAAATGAATCTTTATTTTTAAAAAGAGGCAGCTGCTTTTCCTTGGTTCTTGCATTATTATCACAGGTCTTTTCCAGAAACTCACACAGTTGAAGAGTTCGTCCAGGCCCCATTGCTGGATTTCGGTTTGAGTGCTTCCTGGCTCAGCAGCCTTGGGTGTGTTTCCTAACCTCTCCGTGCTCCAGGGACTCGCCCATAAAATGGAGATCCAGGTGGATTACGGGAGGATTTCATAAATTAATGCACAGAGGAAGTGGAGAGCAGTGTCTGGCACCTATGTACTGTATTCAGGGTTTTGTTTTGAGCTGAGAGCACAGCCTAAGCCTCCCATGTATATGGCAAGAACCCAACTGCTTGAGCCATTCCCTCTTCAGCCCAGGTTATACAGGAATAAAATGCAATAAACAGGAGCCACAGCTGGGAATCAAACCCATGATTCTGGTTGTTGTGAAATGTATCTTTTTTTTTTTAAGATTTATTTATTTGAAAGGCAGATTTACAGAGAAGACAGACAGAGACAGATCTTCCATGCACTGATTTATTCCCCAAATGGCCACAGACAGCTGGAGCTGAGCTGATGCGAAACCATGAACCAAGAGCTTCTTCCAGCTCTCCTACATGAGTGCACGGGTCCAAGGACTTGAGCCATTCTCCGCTGCCTTCCCAGGCCACAATAGGGAGTAGCCAAGACATGAACTGGCACCCATATGGGATCCTGGGTGTTTGCATGTTGGCAAAACATTAGTCTTTTGAGCCACAATACTGGCGCTGGCCTCAAATTAGTGTGTCTTAAAAATTAAGGTCAAATGCCTGCCTCTACCTGTTCCTTGTTGTTGCTCTTATATATTTTCATATTTATTTACTTATTTGATAAAGTAGAAAGAGAGAGAGAGGTCTCCCACCAGCTGATTCATTTCCCAAATGACTGCAAAAGCCAGAATGGAGCCAGGCTGAAGCTCGAACGCTGGAACTCCATCAGGGTCTAAACAAGCGTTCGGGGCATTCTCTACTACTATTTCAGCTGCATTAGCAGGGAGCTAGGTGGGAGGTGGAGCTGCTGGGACTCATAAACCAGAGCTCGTATGGGACGTTGGCACTGTAGGCGGTACCTTTACCTGGCCTGGCCCCTGTGGCTCTTCTTTCTCTTTAATGTCTTGAAGCTATCTGGAGGTTAGGCATATCAGCCTTTCACTTAAAATAGAGGCAGCACATATTTTCTCACAGTCCTCTCGGGTTTTTGTTTTAAACTTTTAAATTTTGATGCCATGTGGATTTGCATACAGATGTGGAAATAACTGACAGATGCTGCCTACCCTTCACCCAGGTCCCCCCACCCCCACCCCATAGTCAACTGCTTGCATAACTAGAGTGCAACATCACCACCAGGAACTTGGCTTTGATGTAACCCACAGACCTTATCAGATTTCGCCACTTCTAGTGGGCTTATTTGCCTCTGTGTCTGTGTGGATGTTTAACTAGTTTCTTGCAGCTCTGTGAGATGTGCAGATTCCTGCAGCTTCAACACAGTCAGGAAACCGGACAGTTGTGGTACAGGATACCTTATGCTACCTGAGTATAACCCTACCTGCCTCCTTCCTTCCCTGACCTGCGACAGCGATCAAAGAATGCTACATAAATGGAATCATCAAGGATGTAGCCTTTGGGTGCAGGCTTTCTGTCACACCGTGTAATTCTCATGTGATTCATCTAAATGGTGCAGGTATCGATAACTTGGGTGAGTAGTATTTTGTGGTATGAATGTACCAGTTTGTGTAACCATTCACCCATGAAAGGGCATTGAGGCTCTTAAAAATATTATGTTTATTCTTTGAGAGAAAGATGGGGACAGATGGAGGGAGAGACAGAGAGAGCTTCCATTCACGGTTCACTCCCCAGCACCCACAGCGGTGTATATACCAGGGACCCACGTACTTGAGACACCACTTGCTGC